AGAGAGAGAGAGAGAGAGAGAGAGAGAGAGAAGTGGTGTAATCAGGTTTCGAAATCTTGATGATTTCACGAACCAGTCAGTGTTTCCTTTCAGAAAAGCGCCGCAATAGGCGTTGGAGAACTGGCTTTGGGAAGCTTTCTAAATATCCAGGAGCTCGTGGAGCGGCCAGGCATCCTGGTTTGCCTGTTTACATCCTCCAGAGGGAGTTCATTCACCTGATAACAAGGCTCGCAGAAAATAAACTGTCACACACTCGCTCCTTCTGACTTCCTGCTCTCTCTGGCAAACGCCTCGAGGTTGTCCTCCTCGCTTCTGTTTCCTGTTTGGCTTTTCCATTGTATTTATTTGGTTTTTGTTGGTAATCTGTTGTAGAGTTATTCACTAAGCTGTCTTTTCAGTTGACATATATGAATTGTTCACAGTAATGAGTTGCTTTGTGGTCTTTTTGGACGTGTATATAATGAATTCGGTACTACACTCTTTACTGTCTCTGCCCCGCCCCCACCTTCCAAAATGCCCCCCCTTTACTTTTTTTTCTTTTAAGTTTTGTGTGTGTGTGTGTGTGTGTGTGTGTGTGTGTGTTCCTGGCTGTTGTGGAGCCAGGTTGCCTGTCTCTGCTTACAGGCATGGGGAGGTGTCCCCTTTTTACCTTTTAAAATGGCCATTATTCTATTTTGTGCATTACCCAGTGAGTTTAATTTGGGTTGTTTTCAGAAGTATAGGTGGGAGATGTTTGACCATCTTAAACTATCCAACATATAAAGCTCTACCTTTTCTTCAAGAAACTAGTGTTTTTAACCTCAAAAGGAGAGTAGCTGTATTCATTGGAACGGTACACTGTATGTTTCTTTAGCGTATGAACTACATAAATGAAACTATTTCAAATGTTACCTCGAAATCGTTTGGCCACGGTACGAATTTTATTTATTTTTTAATTTAATAACTTTGTTTTTGTGTCGAACGAGGCTGAACACCTTGTGACTGAGTCACATCCCCCTCCCCCTCCAGCACTCACTTCAATTTTAAAACTTCCTTAAATATCCCTGAACCAATGAGAAGGCAGTGTCATGGCATAGGGCTAAGAAAAAGCATTAAGGTGACCATTACTATCTTTGCAAATCCAGAAAGATTAATCTTAAAAATGTAAAAAAAAAAAAAATAAATAAAATCCTGCCCCTTTTGTGTCTCTTCATATAAACAATCCTACATAAACAGTCCCAAAGCTGACATAGACGACGCCCATTGTCCCTGTTAGTGTGGTTGAAAGCAGCCTCGGCGAGATAAACCTAGTGATTCAGACTTGGAATATTGGTAATGTTGTAGGTATGCAAATAGAAATTAGTAGGGTCGCAGTCAGACTCTGTAATTCGAAATTCAGTCAATGAAGTTAAAATTGAGAGAGCATCTGAGGTTACCCGGAATCTATTTGCATATAGGCTTATCTTGTTTTTAGGCAGAAGAAGGGTGGGGAGGGGAGGAGGAAGAAGGAAAAAAAAATCCCAATTTTCACCACATGTTCTCAAAATATAGTCGCCTAAGACGACACCGGGTCGCAGGCCTAAGTGCTGACTGTAGAGAACCAACTGCACTAAAACCGGCTCCGTGTAAGCAGCTACCATGCCGCTGGCCTCGGGTCATCTCACTGAGAAAATTGCACAACCGTACTTTAATGTCCGTAGGGACTGCCGGGTTGGGTCGGGACTGATTCTGTTCCCACTCGGGGTTGAGAAGTGGGCTTTGTCCCTGCGTGGGGCCAAGGTCGAAGAGGGTCCTCGGATCTTTCTGCAGCCACAGAGGGACAGATGGACTCTCAGGAGCCAGGACGCCCGGGAGCCCTCCCCGGTGCGTTTCGCTTTACACCTAGTGCTGGTTTAATCCCGGGAAGGGAAACCGGAATCGCTGGTAGTTGGGGGCGGGGGAGGGGGGGAAGAGAGGGACTGGAATTGTCATGTGTGAGTTGGAAATAGTTCAAGGACACACCAGAATGAGCAAGAAGGGCCATACTTGTTGGGAAGACATGGATTTAATTTTTTAAAACATTTTTAGTTCAATACATTCGTTTTTCGTTTTTTTGCAAAGTGATAAACTTTATTCAAAGCAGAGGTAGGGGGAATTTGGTTAGCTTGAGGCCATCCTGGTCTACAAAGAGAGTTATAAACCAGCACAGGGCTACATAGTCAGACCCTGTGTCAAAAATGAAAGGAAGAAGGAACAAAACTTTATTTAAAAGCAAATCGACAGTACAGGTGGGTTAACTTTGCCAGAGAGCAGAGAACTTAAGAGCGAGGCTGGTCTTAGGGTTCAGTGAGTAACGGGGCTTCCTGAGGGGACAGATGAGTTGGACCTCTGACCCTCCATCGTATGTAGGCTGTGGCACATGAGTCCAGTTGCATGCACACCTCCTTCCCCTGCCCCCCACCCCCAATGCTCAAAGACTTATTCGTATTTTAGTTCTTTCTGTGTTAGGAATTGAGCCAAGGACTTCATTCATGGTGGGCAAGAACTCTAGCCAGTGAGCTATAACCCTAGCCCTATTATTTTTGAGACAGGGTTTGATGTAGCCCAGGATGTTCTCCAACTTATTATGTAACAGAGGATTGCTTTGAACTTCTGATTTTCCTGTCTTGAACTTCAGAGTGCTAGGATTACAGACCTTCACCGCCACCACCCTTGTGTGGTTCTGGGTTTTGTTTTGTTTTTCTTTTTTGGTTTGGTTTTTCGAGACAGGGTTTCTCTGTGTAGTCCTGGCTGCCCTGCTGTCCTGGAACTTACTCTGTAGACCAGGCTAGCCTCGAACTCTCCAACTCAGAAATCGGCCTGCCTCTGCCTCCCAAGTGCTGGGATTAAAGATGTGCGCCACCACCACCCGGCTTGGGGGGGGTGTTTTTGTTTGTTTGTTTGTTTGTTTTTATTTTGTTTGAGACAGGGTCTCTTCTCGATATCCCTGGCTATCCTGGAACTTACTGTATAGACCAGTCTGGCTTTGAACTCACAGATATCTGCCTACCTCTGCTGGGATGAAAGGCAAGGGCCACCTGGCTTGGCACATTATCTATATTCTTACTGGGACAATCAGAAAGTCTGATAGAGACATCTCTAATCAGCTTGGTAATTCATTTCCATTGTCATGGAGGCTTTCCATTCTAAGCCTGTGTGCGTGTGCTTTAAAACGTACAGAAGTAAGTGGGGAGAGAAGATATTTTAATTGCTTTCAAATGTCCCAATAAATTCAGAGCCAGCTAGCGCTGCTGCACTTCCTTGCCAGATTGGGACAGGCTTGTTTTCCAAATCTCTTTCTAAGCTCCCTCCTCCTTTTTCTAATCTTAGGAAGTGTCGAAGATATTAAATGCTGCTGGCTGGTCAGAAATGTAAATGTTTGCAGAAGGCTTAAACCTTCAAATGTCCTAGGAAAGACACAAACACTAGACTGCTCTTATGAAAACCACCTAAAACTTAAGGAAACAGAAAAATTATAGGTCCTCCCAAAAAAGAAAGAGCATAAATATATATATATATATATATATTCACACACACACCACACACACAGAGACACAGACACACATACACATTGTGTCCTTGTTTAAATAATTTGTTATCTTCATAGTTCCTATTGACAGCCTCTCAATAAACGGCCAGTCTGTGACTAAGGAAATAACTCCAACCAATGAAGATAGGTGGAGAACTATCAGGAGGGCCAGGAGGCCCGAGGGTGCTATCTAACTGTCGGACAACATCTGCAGCTTCTGCAGGCACCGCTGGCAGGCAAGGGAGCAGTGCTTGAACCCAATCCTTTGCAAAGTTGCTAAGAGGGCTTGAGTCCACGACTAACCGCAGATGAACACCGTTTCTACCCATTCTGTACGAACAGAACGAATCTACCAGCCCTGGTGAGTGTCTTTGTGTCCCAAAACTTAGAATTAATTCACTTCAGGGGCAGGATCTCATGTAGCCCAGGCTGGCTTCACATACTCTATAAAGGAGAGAGTGACAGTGAACTTCAGAATCTCTTGCTGCCAACTCCCCATCAGTGGGATTACAGGCTTGGATCACCATGCCGGGTTTATGTGCTTATGTGGTGCTAAGGGAAGAACACAAGGCTTTGAGCACGATTGGCAACAATCTCAAGTTCCTAACTGTATATTATTATAGTATTATTTTGCAGTATTATTTTTTTTTTTTTTCAGATGGAACCTCGGGACATGAAAGTCTCAAAACTTTGAATCCTAACAGGCCTGCTGGTGTGGACCTCTTTAATCCCAGCCCCTAGGAGTCAGAAGATGATCTCTGTGAGTTCAAGATTCGCTTGGTCTACAAAGTTTGTTCCAGGACAGGTTACACAGAGAAACCCTGTCTCAAAACAAGCAGGCAACAAGCTTTGACTCACTGTAGATCTAGACTATAGTGTCTCCCCGATGGGTTAAGTGTTCTGCTTTGTGCCTTAGACATGAAGAGAGGCCTGAACATTTTAAAATATTAAAAAAAAAAAAAGAGTAGAGTAAAAATTGTTTCCTGGTTCCTCTTCCTTAAGGAACTTACACCCATACTTTCCAACCTTCATATTTAGATGTAGTCAAAATAATTTCAATAAAATCCCCAACTTTGCTTCATTTAAAAAAAAAAATGTTTTGGCCGGGCGGTCGTGGCGCCCACCTTTAATCCCAGCACTTGGGAGGCAGAGGCAGGTGGACTTCTGAGTTTGAGAGTTCGAGGCTAGCCTGGTCTACAGAGTGAGCTGCAGGACAGCCAGGGCTACACAGAGAAACCCTGTCTCGAAAAACCAAAAAAAAAAAAAAAAAAAAAAAAAGTTTTGTAGTTTGTAGCATAGCAGGTTTCAGGCTAGACCCAGGAGGTGAGGCTAAGTCTCAAAAACTAAAAGATTAAAAACAACAACAACAAAAAGATGCCAGACAGTGGTGGCACATGCCTTTGATCCCAGCACTCAGGAGGCAGAAGCAGGTGGATCTCTGAGTTTGAGGACTAAGTGATCTACAGAGTGAGTCCCAGGACAGTTGGGGCTACAGAAAAGGAACTTGGTCTGGGGGAAAAAAAAGTGTTTTTTAATCTACAGAGCTTGGAAGGAGTCAAGCTCTGAGAATTAATTTAAATCCTATCTTTTCGTTGTTTAAGGGGCTTATTTTGTTTTTGATTGTGTGTATGTGTTTATATGTGAGTATGTGCATATAGGTACCCAAAAAGTCCAGAGGGTATCGGATTCCCTGAGACTGGAGTCACAGGGGGTTGTGAGTTGGAGGTTGTGGGTGTTGGGGACCGAACTTTGGTCCTCTGCAAGAGTAGTACCTACCCTTCACCTTTGAACTATCTCTCCTGCATCCTAACTTTCTGTTAGGTGTGAGTATTGCCCTCCAAAGATTGATAAGATCAATTTCACTTTGCTTTGAGTTTCTTTCATGTCAAAAGACTAGTTCAGGTCTCTGCTTATGGATCGTGTCCAGTATCGGGCTTTGTTTGCCTTTTTTCTTTTTGTTTTTGGCATTTTTTAACTCAGGGCCCTCCCAGTGTCAGATGAGCGCTCTGCCTGAGCCACCTCCTCAGTATCTGCACTGTATTAAGTACCCAAGGTCTGTTCCAAGCAGGTCTGATTACCAAACCAATAAATGATGGAGAAAACCCAAGTCTGTGACTTACCCTTCTCTATGGGTCATAACTTAGTGGGGGCATTTTTTTGAGCATGTCAGAATTCAGGAATACGGGAGGGAAGGAGCCACTGTATTTGGCCTATGATTGTATCTTACAAGGGAAACTGAGTCAGGGCAAACTCTGTTTTACATGATTCCCTAATATAAGAATTCCAAGATCCATCCATCCATCTATCTGTCTATCTATATACCCATCTGTATACATATTTATTTATTTTGGTGCTGAAGACTGAACCAGGACCTTGAAAATCCTAAACTGGCATTGAATTACCTAACACACATCCTTAATTCAAGATCTATTCAACTCACCAAGGCCCTTGGCTCTCCAAAATTTGTCTGTTAAACCTCGCATGAGTCTTATTTTATTTTATTTGTTTGTTTGTTTTTCGAGACAGGGTTCCTCTGAGTAGTTAAGGCTGTCCTGGAACTCACTCTGTAGACCAGGCTGGCCTCGAACTCAGAAATCCACCTGCCTCTGCCTCCCAAGTGCTGGGATTAAAGGCGTGCGCCACCACCGCCTGGCCCTTTTTTTTTTTTTTTTTATGAGTCTTATTTTAACTAAATGTATTTTGGAGGGGTATGGAATCTCATGTCTATAATCTCAGCACTGGAGAGGCAGAGGCAGGACAATTGTTGAGTTCCAGGCCAACCTGGGTTACAGTGTGAAACTCTGTAAATTAAAAAAGCAGATAAAATAACATATGTATTTTTTTCTCCTTTGTTTGTTTGTATGTTTGTTTTTGAGATGGGGTTTCTCTGTGTGTCCCTGGCTGTCTTGGAATTCACTCTGTTAATCAGATTGGCCTGGAACTCAGAGATCCATCTGCTTCTGCCTCTCAAATGCTGGGATTAAAGGCGTGCACCACCACTGCCTGGCATCGGTGTTTTACCTTTTATTTTGTGAGACTTAGCCTTACTTCCTGGCTCTAGCCTGAAACCTGCCCCGCAGAAGATTCACTGCCACTGCAGGGATTAAAGGTGTGAGCCACCATGGTTAGCCTGAAATTTTCTTGTTCTGAGGAAAGATTTTCAAGTATTTCCCAGATGGTTGGCTTTATTCAATCTTAAGATCCTTCTCACAAATGAGAAATGTGTGCTTCACTGCCCGGCTTAAGTGTGTGTGTATGTGTGTGTGTGTATGTGTGTATGTGTTTACCTTTTGAGACATGGTCTTGCTATGTACTGGCTGGCCTTCTCCTGCCTCTGTCTTTTAAGTGTGGAGACTATAGGCACGAGTCGTTCTGTCTTATTTACAGTTAAAACAAATAGAAATCTACCAGAAGGATTAGAGGCAGTTTGAGGAAGCACACACCTGTGAGGCGGGGGATCACGAGTTTCGGAACAGTCAGAGGGAAACTCTGTGTCTACAGAAAGAGGCAAACAAGCATGGAAGGATCATGGAATACAATATGTTGGGGAACAGACTTGGGCTTCCCCAATGTACAAAATGATACTTTTAAAAATAGTTTGATAATAAAACCCTATTGAATCAGCTGACTGTCTCCTTAGGGTTGTTCTCTATTAAAACCCTCTGATCAGGAGTGGGGGTCCTTTCTGTGTAATACTAGCTCTTACCAGATTGAATGTGATTCTGTCTTAGGGGGCTGAAACAGGTTTTACAAGGCTACACAGTGAGATCCTGTTGTTTTTCTAAACAAACAAACAACAAAAGACAACCACAACAATAGCAAAGCTCTCTGTACTTTACCTGATGTAACTGTGGCTGTATTCAAATCCAGTATTTACAAGGAAAAAAAATGTTCTGTAAGAATATGACATTTCCTTTAAGCTGCTATAGTTTTGCCACCTACTCTTCAAGCTTGATCAAATATGCCACCTTGAACGGCCGTGTAATCTAGCTTGGAAATCTTCCCCAAGGCTTTGTCTCTAGAGGACAGATCATAAACAATTCCAGTAAATAGTATTAAAAGGACAAGTGCTGGCAACCGGGCTTAGAATCATTTGCCTATGAATAGCTGAGAAAGCTGTTTTTGTTGTTTATTTTTTATACTATTACTCTTTTGACAGGGTCTCACTATGTGGCACTGGTTGGCCTGGAATTCACTCTATAGACTAGACTGGCCTCACATTCACAGAAATCCCCATGCCTCTGCTTCTGGAGTGCTGGGATTAAAAACACGCCCTGCCAAGACAGCTATATTTTTAAATTTAGTGTTTATCTATTCCTTACGGTGATCTCCAGATACATAGCGTATGTCTGAAGTCTCGAAGCTCGTCAGACATCTTTGGCAAACATTAAGACAAGAGGATGTGTGTAAAAGAATAGAGGGGACACGTTAAATTAAGCGGCACCGTCTACGCTCCACGCTCTCCCACCATCGTCCTGTTCGTGGACTTGTGGGGTGTTGTGCACATTGTGTACCAGGCGAAATGGGAACTGCATTGCCGGAAGTGGAGAGCTTCTGATACTGCTAATTAAGGAATGTGGAACCCTTCCTTTCTGAGTCAGCACTGAGGTATGTAGAACTCTGCCCTGCTCTCTGCTTACTGCATGGAAGTTTAGAAATAAAACCAGAGCGTCTTGTCATTTAACATTTAAGAAGCAGGAAGGAGGAGTTTGTGTGTGGTGTGTGTGTGTGTGTGTGTGTTTGGTGTGTGTGTGTGCTTGTTTAAATGGTTCCTGATCTTTGAAAGCCTTTATGGCAGCTAGCCCTTTTTATCATATTTACAGCATAGGTTGAAATGACACAGTGCTGTCCCAAAAGAACATTGCACGCACCGGTAACAAGCAGGGGTTTTTCAGCCGCTAAAGTTTCATAGCAAGGGAAGCATCTTATTAGGTTGTTAGATCCTAGTTTTAAGTTTCTTTTTGTCAAAGACATCTTTGATTTCAAAGGTTTTTTTTTTTTTTTTTTTTTACCGGCAGGTTTATGGAAAATAGAGAAAAACAGGAAGTGGAGAAAAGGTCATTCGAATCCCATTATTGAAAAAAAAAATGACTATTCAGAAGTAGTCTGAACAAATTTGAAGGGGATGTAAATAGAATAGCAAAAATAGTAAACGGGTTCTCCTGGAACCCAGCACCCAGTTCTATAATTTCAACGTGTTAACCACAACTGTTTCAATTCTCTTGCAATCTGGTAAAGTATTATAAATTCTAATTTATCATGTCAGTTTTCTATAGGTTTCTGCATACATCTCTAAACACATATAGCTTCACATGAATTATTAAAGAATTATGTATATGCTACACATTTTACAGATAGTTCGTTGGTCTATTTAATCCATACTAAAAGTTTCCGTGATAAGACAATCCCTTCAGTTCTTTTCTGTTTATTTGTATGTGCATATGCACATGCTGCAGACACATACAGAGATCAGAGGACAACTTTTGGGAGTGAATTTTTTTTTTTACCTGGGAATTGAACACAGGTCATCTGGCTTAGCACCCAGTGTCTTTACCAGCTGAGCTAATTTAAATTCTGAGTTTTTTTTTTTCCGGTGGGGGGTGTTGTTTGTTTTGTTTTGTGGAGACAGGGTTTCTCTGTGTAGCCCTGCCTGCCCTGTAACTAGCTCTTTAGACCAGGCTGGCCCAGAAGACCCACCTGTCTCTTCTGGGATTAAAGGGCATCTGCCACCACTAGCTAGTGGATTTAAATTCTTGTTTATTTTTGTTTTCTCATTGAGATAGTCTTGTCAGGAAGCCGAGGCTGGTTCTCTTGCTTCAGTTTCTCAGTGGCTCAAGGGGATTTCAGGCTTGGATCACCCCCCGCCCTATGGCGAATTTAAATATTTTCATGTGTACCAATATTCTTTTTTTTTCTTTCTTTCTAAAAAAATGTGTGGGACTGGAGACATGGCTCAGTGGTTAAGAGCCCTGGCTGCTCTTTCA